ATTCAAACTCATAAATAAACTTTTCTTTACAATATTCTTTTTCATTTTCAGAAAGCTCCTTGTTTTTTTTGACTAATAAAAAAAAATAATCTTTTCTACTTTCTCTGTCAGAATTAGCATTAGCATTATTACGCATTTCACTATTAATTTTATATACAAAATTCTTTCTTTCTCGTGATGACGATGATAATAGTTTAACATATGACATTATAAAAAATAAAAAATAAAATTCGACTTGGTGCTTTAATAAATTGGAGATTTTTGCGGAGAATTGAGTAATGTGTAACAAGCAATTTTTTTCGTACACGTTTTTTATATTTGATTGATTGCCTTTAAAAGGATTAATTAATTAGTAAGAAAAAAATTGCATTATTTAAACTTCATCACCAATGATTCAACAATAAAAAATTTTTTTCGAAGATTAAAAGTGATAAAAATAGAAAGAGAAATTAAAGCTTGTACCAAAACCTGTCTGTGCTATGTAAAGGTCGTTCCAAATACCAATACAAACTATATTGCTTCAAACTCAGACATTAAAGACAGCTCAAGCACATTATTAATATTATTGCGTATCACTATTACGCGTAGTTAACTTCAAAAGTCAAAAATATTAATTTAACACAACTCATATGTATGTAAAGTCAATTTGATTATATGAAATGTAATAATAAAAGGATAGTTTTAATTTGTAAAAAAAGAAGAGGCATTTTTATTTTGAATGAAAATATACGGAAAAAACCAAGTAGTTTAATTTGGTAAAAGTTCTAATGCAAATTATAACATTTGTAAACTTCCACGATAATTATTCTTCTTGCATCATTGCAATATGCATACAATGATATAACAATTCTTCATTTGTACCAATCTTTACTTACATCAAGTGTTTTCAATTACGTCAAGTGGTTTTACCTACGTCAAGAACTTTACTTTAGTCAAATCGTCAAAATGACCCTGGTGAGAAACTACCTTTAGTCAATACCTTAGTTATATCAATTTCCTAATTCATTCGGCGGACATGTAATTAATTTTTCCGATTGAAAAATGTATTTTAAAATACATACAATAAAAATCATAATAAAGTAATTTTGATTTCATAAAAAATATATATCCTAATGACTTTAAGAAAGTTCGTAACTGGTGACAATTATAGAGATAGATAGATATTTGATTAGTATTATTCTCTCTCTTTCTAGTTATTACACTTATATACGGATCGTTAATAGGGTCGGATAATATCTAAAAACATATATTGAAAACAAACGAGTAAATATTAAATCGAATCATCTATATGTATTTAAAAAATTGGTTCAAGTGTCAACGAAGCTTATAAAAACACAACAAGATCACATATTTGGAATCTTCGCGATAAGAAAAATCCCGAATTACGACAAAATGTTATTAAAGATTTAATTAGTGAAGAAAAATAAACACCGAGGTATAAATATATGAGGAAATGGCTTCACAAGAAAAAATAAAATGATGTTTCAAAATACGCTTCAACATTAAATTAGAATAGATCAAACACGACGCGTTTTTGTTGTTTTACGCTAAATAATCTTCAACGAATAAATATACCTACCTTTCAGGCTAAATAAAAGTTGCTCTATGGTCAAACAAACTCGCCTATTTGTCTTTTAAATTTTGATAGCAGACAATAACTTTGTCATAATTTCGTATGGATATTATTGGAAAGTTAATATTAAGATGTTAACAATCATTTATTTTGCAAAAAAGTAAAAAACGCGAATCACCTATTACATGTGTTACACCAATATTAGATTGCAAATCATAAATATATAAAAAAAAATTTTTTTAATATTGAAAATATGTACGATTTACCTTGGAAATGTAATTTTGATAATTGTGATAAATCATTTAAATTTCTTTGTAGATTGGAAAAACATCAACAAGTACATACAAACGAGGTAAATAAAGACAATTACTAGTTATTTATATTATGATTAATATTCATAAAGTAAATCAAAACATCAAAATTGAAAAAAAATGAATATCCTCTCTCTCTCTTCTAATCATAATTTGATGACATTTAGAGACCATTTAAATGTACATTTGAAGGATGTGAAAAATCATATAAACGTTCGGATCATTTAAAATTACATTCAATAGTTCATAATCCAATTGACTCTAAACCATTTAAATGTTCAGTAGAAGGTTGTGAATCTAAATTTTCTTTAAAACATCATCTCAATCGACATATTAAAGAATTACACGAAATTGAAAAGCCATATAAAGTAATTTGATATTTTATTAATGTAGAATTTTTTTTTTAATGTTTATATTTTAATCCTAATTAATTATCTTTGAAAAAATATATATATACCTTCAGTGCAATTATGAAAATTGTAATCAACCTTTTAAACAAGATTATTTATTAAGAAAGCATCAAAAACTTCATACTGGTGAAAAATTGTATCCATGTGAAATTTGCACAAAAAGTTTTTCTACTTCTACTAAATTACAACATCATAATCTTGTTCATTCAAGTAATCTTCACTTTACAACGATTTTTTTTCCTAATTCAAATAGCTATGGTATTGTGCATGTATGTATTTACTTATTAGCTTAAAATTTAAAATTTCAGATGAAAAACGTTGGTTATGTACATTTCAACAATGTCAGCAAGAATTTTCAAAATATCCTCAGCTTTTAATACATTTAAAAAATGATCACAAATCAATTTGTGAAATTTGTGGAAAAGAACTTAAAAATTTAAAACATTTAAGAAGTCATGTGAAGACTCATAATTATGACCGTATAGTTTATCCATGTGAGTGGGAAGATTGTAATAAATATTATTATAGTGTAAGAATCATTACCTTTTTTAAAAAAATAAAATTATAATCACACACTGAAATTTAATTCAATTAATTATTTCTATTAATTTTTTTTTTTAAACAAATTAGTTAAAATCTCTAAATGTTCATGTAAAAGCAGTGCATGAAAACATTAGACCATATGTTTGTAGTATAAAAGAATGTGGAATGTCATTTGCTTATAAAAAAGTTTTAACAAATCATATAAAATCTATTCATGAGGTAAAATTACTTTTGTTTATTTCTTTAGTGGTCTTTCTCTGTTATGTGGTTAATTTTATTATTTTTATTTTTGAATATTTGTAAAATAGTCACCAAAACCACGTAAGCAAAGAAGATTAAATAATGATAATGATAAATTTAATCATGAAACAACAGAATTAGAATGTCTCACTGGCCATAATTATGAGAATTCAGGTAGAATGATTTCTTGCACAATTGAAGGATGTCTTTATTTATTTAAACGAGAATATGATCTAGATCGACATTTAAAAAGTTTTCACAATAATGTTTTTTGGATGTTGGAAAATGAAGATGAAATTAATGTCTAATATATAATAATATTAACTTTTCTTTTGATTTTTACAAAAGAAAAAATATATTATAAATGGTGTTTGCTATTTAATAAATTAGCCAAATTTATAATTATTGATTTTTTTTAATTTTCTTGTTAATTTTTCTTCTCTACAACTTCATCTTGAGCTATTGACCACCATGATGGAATAAAAGGTTTTATTCTAAACAATTTTCCAGATTGATTTTCAATTACCAAATTTTCATCATTTACCTTATCCAATCTTAAAAGCGCCAATGCTACATTATAACAAGATGAACCAATATTGCCTATTGAACGTCCTTTTTTGTTATCAGTGATATTAACAATTTCTTTATGGGGTGGAGGAAGATCCGATGATGATGTATTGTATTTGCGATCAACCACTAAGGTTGTTGGTTTGCTTTCATTTTATATACATATATTTATATATGTACATACATATACATCATAATGATCCAAAAAAATGTTTTTTTAATAAAGAGATGTTAAATAATTAATAACGGTAATTTTAAGAAGAAATTACCTTTCTCCTTCACGATATAGTTGTATTGGAATAATTCTTTTTCTTGTTACTCCAGTATGATATGTACGAAATGTAAGTTCTTGACCAATATAACAGCCTTTATGAAAATCAACTAAAGAATTACATTAAATAAATATAAATTTGTTTATTCACACACAATTGAAAATGATGTATTCATTTAATTTACAAGGTAATAATTACTTCCTCCCATATAATCAAAATTAGATTGTAGTGGCAATGATGTTCCTGTTTCAAAATCATCAATTCCTTCTGGAATACCATGCAAAATTCTTCTAATAGTATATTCTATTGATGGTAATTCAGTAAAAGAGGATGGTAATATTGCTACAAAATAAAAAAGATATACATTAAGTTTTCCTTTTATTTATTGTTATTATCTACATATATATATATATATATATATATATATATATATCATTTGAATATTACGTTTTGTATCGGCTGGTAACACCAATCTTAATCCCATATCTGGATACCTTTTATCTTTACATCCAATTTCATTTATTCTTTCTTTCAAGACCAAAGTACCTGTTGGCAATTTTGTTGTAAAAGGTTTAGGAATTTGATGTTGCCACCATAAATTATTTATATTTTTACCCCATATACTCCAAGCATTGTAATGACTTGAAACATCAGTAATTACAATCTTTGATCTTAGAAGATATTTTTTAAGATGATTTATTAGATGTGACGATCCACGAGAATCACATTCAATTAAAAAAGTTGGATGTGGAAAAGTTGATCCAATGTTTTTGGGATAGATAAATGTGTCATATAGAACACGTCCCTAAAATCAAAAAATCAAAAAACCTTTTGATTGGTCTCAAATTGTTATAAAAAAAAAATAATCCAAAGAATTCATAATTTTTATATATCATACAGTTGTGTTCAAAAATGCTGCATAAAAACCATCACCTCCGTTTTGTATCAATGGCATATTATTTGTGATAAGTCCCTGTAGAAATTTTACAGCATTTTCTCCATGAATTTCAATTAATGCACGATTTGGAATTTGCACGTAGTGATCACCTTTATGTACTATATCATTTTCTTTTTCAATTTGAACTTGGTTATTATTATTATTTTCAGAAGAAATAACAGTTGCATTTGAACTAATTAATCTAATTTTTGTTGTGTATTTAGAAATTAATAATTGATGATTTAGTGATTTTCTATAAACTTAGTAAAAAAATTAATAATAATATAATTAGTTTATTTTGATTTTTATGTTTAATCATTTATTGTTCATACGTAAATAAATAAATACCTCTAAAATAATTTGGAACACATCTCAGCATTATGAAAAGAGAATAAACAATAATCAATTTTGTTTTACTAGAACCCCCCAAAATAGTGTTTTAGTTAGTGCAACAATAAAAATTTTGTGCTAAAGGATTTTTTTATATATTGTGTTAGAGCCTACCGGATCCACTATTAAGAAATTAATTGCGCAATAAAACATGTGATACTAAAATTACCTTTTTTTAATGATCTTGTTTTATTTGTAACACGGTTTTTTTTGCAATTGATCGATCGATCATTCTTAAATCATGGCAAAACATCACCCAGATCTTATAATGTGTAGAAAGCAACCTGGCATTGGTGAGTCAATTTTATTATTTAACATCATTATAAATATTAATATTAACATCATCATCGTCATCATCATACTAAAAGCTATTGGGCGTCTTTGTGAAAAATGTGATGGAAAATGTGTGATTTGTGATTCGTAAGTATTTACAAAAAAAAATTTGTTTCAAATAATAATATTATTATTTACATGTTTTTTTTAATGCAATAATAGATATGTAAGACCTGATACACTTGTTCGGTGAGTACTCTTTCTCTATTTACTTTTATAGTTCATTTGAATTTGAACCTTATGGCTAATATCTTAAAATAAAATTATTAGAATATGTGATGAATGTAATTATGGTTCATATCAAGGTCGTTGTGTGATTTGTGGTGCTCCTGGAGTATCTGATGCATATTATTGTAAAGAATGTGTATTGCAAGAAAAGGATGTATGTACTAATTAATTAATTGACATTAGATTTATTGGTTTATTTGATTTAATTATTATTGTTTTCATAGAGAGATGGATGTCCAAAGATTGTGAATCTAGGATCCTCCAAAACAGACTTGTTTTATGAACGGAAAAAATATGGATTTAAAAAAAGATAACATTTATGCTTGAATGCATAAATGTTATTTAATTAATTATTTAATTAATTAATATCTTTGCATTCAATTTATTCTTTCTTTAATTATGAAATAATATAATGATAATTAATTGTAAATAATTAATCTTAAAATTTAAATATTAGATTTTTACTATTTAATTTTCTGTTTTTATATAGAGAATTTTTACTAGGAATAAAAACAGATGTTCTTTAAATCTTTTGAGTAATTCTTTGGCTTCTTCCTCCTGACAAACATTGTAATGTAAGCCATTTCAAAAATGTTGACAAATATCACACAAGTCAGTCTTTGGAATCATAATTTGAATCTCTGGTGCATAACTTCCTGAATGAATCATACTTCAAAGACACCATCTTCTTCCAGACCAGCAAGAAGTGGACTGGTCTATAACTCATTTTAGTGAGCAAAAATATAACTGACTGGGTTATTCTATTAGTTTTTCTTCCTGTGCTTGTCAAACCATGAATTTCAGCATAGTTTTCCAGAAATTTCTTTATAATCTTAGCAACACTTTTGTCAATAACCATCTTTGTTTTCCAAGTAAATCCTAGCAATTCCTAGCATATTAAAATAAGTTTCTTGGCAAAAGAGATGTATTATGATCCAGTGATAGAAGGTTCTTTTATTAGATCTGGTTTTCTTTTTAAGGCATCTGCTAGTGCTTATTGACCCACCATCATTAGCTTTAAGCTGCGCCATCAAAATAGCCTTGTTCAGACTTGGAAAGAACTTGAAAAGCTTCATATAATTCTGCAAACTCTTCTTTGAAACCATTGCTGAACAGCCATAGGCACCACCTACCTCCAAAATATCTATTGCCTTTTCATATTCAGTAGAAACATTATATTTATTACATTTATTTTTTTTTTTTAAGGATTGTGACCACATTTATTAACTCTACACATGATCCCACCCCACACCCTTAATTAAAATAGTTAATTAATAATCATACAAAGATAGTATGTTAAAGGCAAAACTTTTCCCACCTAGCATTAAAAACTATGAAATTCTGACATCACTTTTCAGAATGTATGGCATTTTGAGAATTGGATATCCCGATTGAATGTTCTGGCTTCCAAATTTATCAAAGAAAAAAGTTCCTGAACTATATCCAACAATTCCAGAGCTGCTTTCCTCCCTTTAGATTTTGAGTTATTGATACATGTGAAATTATGTATTATACTTTTCAAAATTAAATCTTTTAAACTTTTTTAAAGAGTGTGCAAGATGTAGTAGGATTGTTAAAATAAGGATCTATTTCACACATTATTGTTTGTATATTCAATCATTCTTATAATTCTTGTCATTGTTATTATCACTATTATTATCATTATAATAATAATTATTATTATTCAATTCAATTTTTTTTATTAATTGTTCTTTTAATTTGCCATATAACTGTAATAATAATTAATTAATAATAAAAAAACTAATAATAATAACAAGGATCTAAAATCCCTTTTGATAAATATCGATCTTATTTCATGGTAGAATACCCAAAAATCCAAGTATACAATTTTATAGCTCGTAGCTACCTACAATTGGCTCTGGATATAGTGAAGCATTTGTTTTTGGAAAAACTTCATTATATAGTACGATTCATTATATAAAAAGATTG